AACCATGAGAAGTGGAGAAAGGTCATCTTTTCAACCAATGTTTGGATTTGGGGCTTGAATTCATGTTTATCCTTATTATGTAGTGATAAAAAGCAATATAAATAAGCAGAGTAATCAGTAGAAGTTATTCTAGCATCAAAAAGGGACCTGTAACACCCAAAACAAATATGTTATGAGGATGAGATAGATGTGTTTCTGGAAGGTTTGATAATCCAATTAAGAAAGAGGACCAAATCCTACCAACACTTTGGACAGATTTACATTTCTTACTTTATGATGTTGACAGAGATGACATAGAGAGATGATATAAAATTCAAAATGTGCCATTACAGTGAAGACTTTGGAGTGAACTGGTTAATGAGTATCATCAATTCAAAGAGAAGTTAAGTTACTGCATGAGAAAACCTCAACTGTCCTAATATCTCAAAGCTTACATAGGAAGGAGACTGATAAAGTATTATTATAAAATAGTTGTCACATGTAGCCATGATTATAGAGCACGCAGCTAAAATCGGTGAGGAGGGATGGAATATAGAGGTATGTCAGCTGGTTTATTTAAAATATTTTGACATTTTCCTGGATTTTGTGACGTTTGTGGCCTTTGTGTACATTTTAAGAGGTGCAACTTGCTATTTCTCCTATTCTTATACTAAATATTTATCTATATTCATACAAAAGCTTGTATTTACAATTTTGTATTCTTTTTCTTAAAGATAAGCCCTGAACTGAATCAGCTTTAAGCACATGGAGTCTGGACAGGCCCCTGCCCTTACATGCCCTAAGCTGGACCATGAACGTTAGAGAGGGAAGATGCTGAGATAGGCTTGAGGGAATGGATAGAGCCAGAACTGGTGGACATACAAAGGGCAAGTGGAGGTGACTAAGGTGGGTAGACACTGCCTAAGTGGGTCCACTCAGAATTCTTTGCCCCCAGTGGGCCAACCCTGTAGTGAAAGTTCCTGTTTGCCTAGGGAGCAATGTTGACCTGGGCTGAACCAATGCATTTAATTACAGTGAAACCAGGAAGCTGGTGATACAACAAGGTCATTGTAATAGCTTTCTATGCTATGTCACAATGATCACAGATGTGGTGGCTGACAGGACCCATGTTGAAATCTCTTAGTTTTTGTGGGTTAGGGGTCCAGTGTGTGCCTGGGTCTTCTAGGCTGCAGTTGAGGTGTCTGCTGGTGTGGGAAGGCTCCCTCAGGTTGTTGGTAGGATTCAGATCCTCTTGGCGGTGGGGCTCTGCTGTGTGGAGGCTGTCAAACAGGATGACCATCCTGATTCCTCATCCTGGTCAGAAACCCATAGTTCCCTTCTCCTGGGTTCCCCCTCTCCAGGTGGAGGCCAACAAGGCTCACGGTCTGGTCCTGGCAGTTTGCCTGTCAGAACCAGCAGGACATCAGGTGACATCATATGAGGCCGCTAAGAGTACCACCATCACTGAGGCCACCTTCAACTGGTGAGAAGCAGGGTGCAGGTTCCACCTGCACTCGGGATGACATAAAGAGGGCCACCAGGAGGCAGGGGCCATGGGACACCCTAGGGCCTGTCACCAGACGTGTGGCTTCAGTACAGGCTGCAGTATAGGCCCCAGGGGGCCTACAGTTGAGTCTTTGTCCCTTCTGAGGGAGGGGCGATCTCAGAGATGAAGTTGTACAGGAACATGGTTCAGCAGCTTGTTGAACATGGGGTCACTGAGAACATCAGATGGCCTTCTCATTATGGCCAGCATCTATCTGTTGTTAAGTTCCAGTTAAATGTGAGCTTCAACGCACAGTGGCCCTGTATAGGATTTCTGAGGAGTGGCTGGTGAGTTTGAACCACAGATCTTGCAGTGCAAACAACCTTGCGGTCCATCCTACAGGGCCACACCAGGAGTAGTGTCTCACTGAAAGCCGTCAGGTGCTGCCCTCCTCACTGTGCTCTGTCACTGCTGTGACACAGGCCGCTTCTTCATTGCCACTTGCCTGGGCTGCTTCCTGGGGGAAGGCATCTCCTCAGGGCAACATGTGTCACCTCGAGCCATAGTGAAGCTTGGATCCATGACACACACAGGGAGGGATCCCCTCACTCATTTCCCCGTAGTCTATAGGCCCTGTGCCCTCCCTGAGCCTCACCCTGGGCCCACAGTGTCCCTGAGGCACTGGCTAGACCATCCCAAGACTGGCTCCCCCGAATATCCCCTACTGCTGGCCCCTGGTCCTGGTCTCCCACACTGGGTGTTACGGTTAGTTCTTGCTCATGTGGCTTGGGTATGTGAGGTCACAAAACCACATCTGCACAACCTGGATAGTATGTCTTGGACCCATATGCCCAAAGTCAAGCTCGGATCCCCCCGATCTGTGTGCCTGACACTGTCCTAATTAGGGACAGCAACTCTATCCTTCAGGCTCAGACCAGGAGCCTCAGGGTAAGCTTGGACATTCCTTCACACCCACATCTGAGCTACTGACAAACTTCAATAACAGTTCCTTCACAGCATCTCTGAAACTCACTCACTCTCACTGCAGCCATCCCAATATCCTACTCTAGTCCTTGTGGGTGTCTCCAGCATGTAGCTGAGCCAGTGGTCTTCAAGGATCACAGTCAGCCTCTGCCCTGCTGTTCCAGCTACACCCCACTCTACTGGGGAACCCAGGTGCCTTGGTGCAGGAGGACAGAGAGACCTGCCTCATCCTGAAGCCCATCACTCATTCTGTACTCCAATATTACCTGCATGACCTTCTGGTTGCCCTGTGAAAACATGCACACCCCAGGCCAGCCCTGACTCTGGTTCTCCCTACATCAACCCTCTCCCTCAGACTGAATGGGACAATTCCTCATATCCTTGGTCTTGTCTTCTCTCACCTCCTTGGGTGAGCTGTGCTAATGCTCATTTAATACCACACTTTCAACCCCTCCCCACTGGTGGTCTCCCTTTAATTGGTCTAATGTGTTCATGTACCCTGTTCTCCCACATGGAGGCCAAAAAGATTGGGTTGCCCTGTCTCTCCTGCATCCTGGCCAGAGCAGTGGTATGAACCACAAGGGTCCAGTGTGTGTGTGTGTGTTTGTGTGTGTGTGAGCATATGGTGAGACCCTGCACCTGGCACCCTCTATTGCTATGCTCACACTAATGATGCTGATGACTCGAGACTCCTGGGAGGTGTGTGGGGTTCAGGGTTCATGGGCCTGGCTGGGGTCTGGATAGCTGAAAACAGCCCAGTGTGGCTCCCGCATGGCAGAGATGGGAAGGACCCTGCTGCAAGATGGACGCTCCAGCCACACCTGGCCCATGGGGGCCATCATAGTTGGAACAGGCTTACTTCTGGCCCTCGGCTTCACCCACATGCCTTTGCTGGGCCACTGAGCAACTGGTGGCTCTAAGAGTACCCACCTGGTATCAGCCCTCTTGGAATTGCTGGTTCCCTGTGTACCATCTGCCCTCTAGAGGGCCTTGGGATCCCTAAAACCCAAGGTGGGGAGGGACGGTGCCCTGACTGGAGACTGGGACATGTCCAGAAATAGGGTGAGGATCCCACTATGAGGAAGGGGCACAGGGTAGTCATCAGAGGTGAGCACACACATAACGACAGCTCTGCGTGGTGGTGCAGACTGCAGAGGCAAAGGCGTTGGAGGCCTGAAGCAAAAGGACTGGGGAGGAAGAGGGGGACATGGAGGGCACAGTGGAGGGCAAAAATGAGGGAGAGGCCTAGGGGCAGGAGGAGGAGGTGGGGAGGGACAGGAGGGACAGGAAGGACAAATGATTCAACCCAAAGTTTAAAATGACTTCACACAAGAGGATGCTAGGTTTATGAGTGACAGAGCATCTGAACTGTGTGTGTGTGTGGGTGGGGGTGGGGAGGGATACCCTGCATGGGTTTGGGAAGAAGCTGAGGGCACTCACATCCTGGCCTTTGGTGCTGGTTGGGTGTGGGGACGGACACCAGCTCACAAGTCAGGATGGCTTATATAAATCCAACATTAAAAAAGGGTTGGGGAGAAGAAATGAAATAACACATGTGTGTGAGAGTAAAACCTAAGCTTCTTTTGATAAAAGGCAGACCTTCCATCTATATTGCACAAATATCTCTGAGGTCCTCATATGGGCACGTGTGTGTGCCTGGTGTGTGCACATGTGAGCTCATGCATGTGGGTATGCACATGTGTACATGTAGGGGGTAATTCAGGCATACCGGGAGGTGGGGATTGTGGAGGACACAGAGATACACCAGAGCTGGTCAGTTAGGTGTTAGAACATTTATTGATCTTAGATGCTGTACCTCCTGATGAGTCCAGCACACTGGACTTTCCTGGGCAGGCATAGCCTCCCGAGGTGGAGACATCCTAGTGAAGCCAGGGCCTCCCATATCCTCCCCATTCTACTCTGCTCCCAGGAAAGGACCCAGTATCCTCAGAACCCCTCCTCTCCTGCCTGCCCCAGCTACACTCCCCTTCCTGTGGGACTAGAGGAACCAGCCCTGACCCTGACCTGAAACAGGCATAGGCTTCCAGGGAATAAGGTATGCAGAAGGGGACCCAGGAGGGGAGGGGTCCATGACAGGTAGCATCTCAAGACAACCATGCTCTAGATGGCAGAGCAGATGACAGTTCACACCAAGTGCTGCCAAAATGTCAATCCAACTCTAAAGTGGGCATATTACACTAATGAACAATACTTCTAAAATGTCACACATAGGAACACCCCAAGTATGTAAAATAATTAATACCGCATGCCAATGCAGGGACAGACAGAGCATAAACTAATACTGGTGAGCAGGGCTGGGGATGGAGCCTGGAGCGTAGGCGCCGTACAGACACAGATATACAAGTAGGTGTGTGTGGCGGGGGCACGTATGCATAGGAACGGTATATATATATGTATGTATATATATATATAATTTCTGTCAGTAAAGAAACTCTATCACGTATTTGCAGTGGGCAGACAGGAGGCTGCAGGAGCAGGTGGAGGCAATGGCTCAGGAGGCGGTGCTATGGAGGGAGACTGCAGGTGGAGGTTAGAGCGCACCCATTCCAGTGACCTCGGATGTGAGCCTGGAACAGACAAAGGACAAGGAGGGAAGAGAGCACAGTGACAATGTGCTGCATAAACCCCGGGAGAGGGGAGCCATACAGGGGTAGGCATATCCTCCCCGCTGCATGCCTACTCCTTTCTCACAGCAGATGCTGCTCTGGCCATGGCTGCCTGGCCACGGAGAGAGAAGACATAGTCACAGCAGGGCAGGAAGGTGGAGAGCCATGAGGCCTCCCCCAGGGGACACCTTGTGCTAGTGGCCATGTGTCATGGAGGCACTGTCGCCCGAGGCAATCACTACTGGACAACTGGGAGGGTGACCCAGGGGCCTTGGAAGGATGACTTGAAAGCCTCCAAACATCCTATGGGGGGTGGGGGAGGTTGTCTTTATAACCACAGGACGTGACAGAACAGAGTCGCTTAGTGAATGATGGATGCTTTATGATCTGAATCAACCTGAGTGTGGCTGACTGAAGGCTCCTCATCGGGGTAACCCTTAACAACCCACCTGTCTCCGTGGCCTGGCACAGCAGACAGGATGTGTTTGCGCTGTGCCAACACCCAGCACATGCTCACGGCCTTGCACCTTTGCTATACCATGAACACTGTGAGTGTTTGTTTACAGGACGCTGTCCACCACAATGGTACGGAGAGGAGAACGCTCAGCAGTGGTTGAGGGTGGAAGGCCCAGCTCAGCTGCCCCACCTGCTCTCCTGGGCCACTCCTGGTAGTGTGCTCTTTATGCTCAAGTGACAGTGCCAGATGCTAGTGTCACAGGCCCCAAGGCACAGTAGACAGGCATGAGGGTACATGGCTTTGAGCTAAGCCTGGGACCTACAGTGTCCATGCTACCATGGGTTCTCTCATCTGCACCATGAATGAAGGAAGTCGAGGTCCATACCTCTGAGTCTCATCATTACACACTTCTCTGAGAATGAAGGAGGAGCACCAGAGCAAAAAGGCAGAGCAGTGAGCTGTATAGACAAGGACTAGGTACATGAAGGAGCCAGTGTCAGAGACCTGTCTCAAACTAGATGGGCTCTTGGTTACTGCCTTCTAGCTTTACCCAGCAACTCACTGAGATTCTGCAGGTAACCATGGTAAGATCAAGACATACAAAGATGGAAATTATGATTCCAGGCTTACATGTAGATCGTCTATGTCACAATCTGTCATCAGTGTGCAGCATAAAGAGGAGTAAGTGAGGTGGAGACAGATCTGGATCCACCTACTTTAACTCTGTCCCAGTGTAGAATGTGGGGATGGAACTCCAGATAAAAAGGGGTTTGGGGCCCAGTCAGCATGCCCTCTCTGAGCTCCATGGCTACTTCTCTGAAGGCCTTCCTCAAACCTGAGACAAACCCATTAGAAGAGAGCCCCAGCAAGCTGTTTACCTGGCATTGATGAGATACTGGGCAAGGCTGATGTTGGCCGGGCTTCCGGTGATGGTGATTTGGCGCTCTGATGACCCTTCGGTGGCATTGGCAATTTTGATCTGTGCTCCTGACATCTGTCGAATTTCATTGATTTTGGTTCCTTGGCGTCCAATTATGCAGCCTATTAGCTAGAAGAAAGGATGGGATGGGGGTGTTTTAGAGAAGCGTGCATTGCAGAGTACATGCAAGAGCCTTTCATGGAGAAGATGGGGCGTTTGGACAAGGCCCTGCAGAATTGACAGGGTACAAATGGGTTCTGCATCATGTACCTGACCTGGGGAGGAGGGGGGGGACAAACATACTGTCTTGATCATTTACTTGGTGTGGCTAGATCTCTTCTTACGGTGCTCTGCTTTTAGTCATCCACAGCTTGTGTGTCAAGTCTCATGGCTATGAGACTTGACGCCAGCTCTCTGGTTTAGGCTAGGACTCAGAGCCATAGCCTCATCCCTCCCCCTGAAAGTTTTCTCTAGATGCCCCAGGCTTTCTGGGACGTGTCTTCAGGGTGTTGATGACTCCTGGCATGGAAACTTGGACAAGTGTTTGTTTGAAGCCACAGTGAAGCTCAATGCTGCCTGAAGTCTGCCTTGGAGTCTGTCTGAAGGAGTGGTGGTCAGCAAGAATGAGGACCTTCCTGTCACAGTGAAGATGGCAAGGAGACAGCATGTGTGAGGCCAAAGCCTGGATGTCAAGACCTTCTCTGACAAGAGAGATTCAGCTGAGCAACTCCTCCCAACTACTGTTAGGGATTCAGATCCCAGAGAAGGAGGACCATGGATTCCCTCGATGCCCACCTTCACTTCTATACAAGCCACCAGTGTGGCCCTGGGAGCAAAGAGAAAAAGAAGTGAGCAGAGACAGGTGCCAAGGAGCACCAGGGCAGGAGCCCAGGTGGACTGTCCAAGAACGCTGGGTGGATACAGGTGGGAGAGCTTCTCCCACCTTCTCCCTAAAAGCACTAGTAAACCCAAACTCACTGCCATCAAATCGGTTCCGACTCACAGCAACCCTGTATAGGGTTTCTGAGGCTGTAAATGTTGTTTTGTCTTGTTCATACAAAAATCTGTGGTTCCTGCAGGCTGCTACATACGAAGGGAAGAAGCAGGAGTAAGGTTTCCTTCCTAGTTGTTGTGGGGCTTGACCTGACCATTGCAAAGCAATGATGGTTTCTGAAGCCCAACAGCTGCAGGCTTGAAAAGTTCTACTGACATTTAAACTGGAAAGGTGACGCACAGTAAACACTTCCCACACGGAGGTCGCATGCTTGTTGTTCTGGTAGTTAGCCCTCAAGGACACTTCCTAGGTTCTTGATTCATAATCGTGAGTCAATATCCTTAGAAAAGCCCAGAAATTCAAAGTCTGGTCCACCCTCTGCCACCCGCTCCCTGCTTAGCTGGAAGAGGACTGAGCATGTTGAGGGGAGCTCCTAAGGCACCCAGTTATACCTGAGAAGAGCATACCTGAGGTTATACCAGCTAACCTCAGGTATGCTGAAGTTCACCTTGAGCAGAAAATTCTACCTCAACCCCCAGGGCAGGGCACATGGACTAGATGTATTCCAGGAGACAACCCTGAACCAGGGCAGAGCTTTCTAAGTCATGTTGGGTGAAGTCATATCAGTCTGACACTGGCCTTCTGAATTCTAAGCCCTAACGACCTTTTTGGACTCTTTCTTATTTAGTGTCTTGTTGTTAAGTGCCATAGAGTTGTTTCTGACTCATAGCATCTCTGTTTAGGGTTTCCAAGGCTGTAAATATTTGTGGGAACAGAAAACCTCATCTTTCTCCCACGTAGCAGATGATTGGCTCAAACTGATGACCTCGTGGTTCACAATCCAGTGCATATCTTAAGAATGTAAAATCACATATCTTTTATGAGCATTAAATCCACTTATAATGGTAAAGGAAAGGAGAAAGGCAAAGTAAAGAAGTGCTGCAGAGAGAGCCATCCCATCAATCAATGGAGCTGGTGGGCTGGGGGGAGATAGGGTAATAGCATGTGGTGGGTACCTGTCCCCTCCATATGAGTATACGGAGGTTCAGGGGCATACTCACATCATTGGGAATGGTGAGCTCATGGGTGCTGGCCGGAGGACTGGCATCCAGACCTGAATACACCAAGGGACATGGTTAGGACAGCAAGAGCACAACTCACAGTTACCTCCATACCACCCACTCTCAGCTGGGCCAGGTGAGATCAGCACGCTGGTCAAGGACTAAGCCTGGGAGTGTTAAGTCCTGAACTGTGGCTCCAACCTCCTAATTCCCTCAAAAGAAGAAAAAAGAAGCCCAGAGAGAACAGCATTTCATGGTTTCATTTTGGACACATGACTTTGTATAACCTTTCTTGAGACATTTCACACACTGGTGAGTTTGGGCTGAATGGCAGGGCCTTAATGTCTTCAGGCCATGTGTGAAATGCCATGGTACAGACAAACTTGTCACAGCAAGGAGGTGGGGCCCCTACAGCCAGTTGAATGCCCACTGCCCTCACTGGCTACAAGAAGGCCCTCTGGCTTCCTTCTCACCCAGCACCCTGCATGACGTGTGCAGCAGCGAATTCAAAATTATACGGCCAGGCATAATAACAAATCACATATTCTGTACAGACATCCTTCCTGTGCAGAAGACACAGGTATAAGTGATCCTAAAGCACTAGTTTTCATCTTCAAAAATCTCAATTTAGTGTATACCAGAATTAAACTGAAAGATACAGTTTTGCTTGGGAAGCAATGACAATAAAATGACCCACTGCAGCCCCTGGGGCCAGTGACAGGGATGGTGATGGAGCAGGAGAAGCCATGGGAGGAGTGAAGCAGGGCTGGTGGTGTGGTTACTGTGGGGTGGGGGTGAGGTCTGTCCCTCCAGGCAACCCTGCCCCTGTGCTTATCCAGAAGGTCTATCCTGTTCACTGACTCACCAGCCAGGAACTTGGTCTTCCCCGAGGCCCCTGGGAAGTCCCTACATTGCTGGTCCTACAACTGTGCTCAGAGCCTAGGTGATACCTGCCTGTAGCCAGCTCATTGCAGCTCATTCTCATCTACCTTCAGAAGTGTTCTACAACTGAGACTGCATTCCACCCCACACCACTACCTTGGTCCCCTGCCTGCACCTTGCCTCCTGGGTCTCATCTCTATGGCACATCACAAATCAGTTCAAAACTTTCACTCAAGCTCCCACTTCCTCACGCACTGCCCTCCACCCCTACTCCCTCTGCTCCAGCCATACAATCTCCTGCCAGTGGTGAAAGCCCTGCCTCCCTACCTTCCTGAGGTCCCTGATGTTCAGTCAAACCTCCTGCCCTGCTGCATTCTCCACTTTATCTTCAGCTTCCTTTTCCCTCCCTTTATAGTGCCCACTGAGACTAGGCTTTACTCCTCCTTGTCAGTCTGTCTGTTGCTTTGGGTTGACCTGCAAGGGGGCTGTACCTGACAGGCAGTAGGGCTCAGCTGGTATGTGGTAAAGAAACAATTTGTCCCCAATTGTCTGCATATCCAAGCTGAGAGAGTTTATTCTTGTGTTCTTTTAATAGACGTATTTTCAGAGCACCAATTATTTGGTTGTTCAGCTATCTACAGATCCCACAAATGGTGCCATTTAAAATATCCTTGGTCCTATCTGTGCCCATCCAGGTGCTCCTGACAACGCAGTTTAGGATGCACACAGGAGTGAGTTGCAGCTGCTGAAGTGAGCATAAATTCACCAAGGGGAGTAAACTTCCATGACCTTTCCAGAGTTTAAAATTAAACTAGTAAATTGACTACAGATGTACTCAAAGGGCGTATTCACTTTCTCATGACTCCATGATGAAGACAGTAACACTCTATACACCAGAATATAAATAACGCTTTCCTTATACCACGTTTATGGAGCAGCGTGACCGTCAGCCACTCAGAGGCTGCCATGCCAACATGTTCATTGTTACCTGTTCTGTCTACCCTGCTGCTGGTGGCTAGACACATGGATTTGTGCTGTGAATCCCATGTGAGTTGGAGGGAGGCAAGAGGCAACCAGGAGGCCATGAAGGCTGTGGCCTCAATAACATGCTCTGTCCCCGTGATCAGGCATGGCATGCCAGCAGAGTGGGTTTGTTAAAAAGGGTTATGGAAGTGGGTGCAGTGTATGTGTGGGAGCCAGGGAGAGGGAACGCTGGGCTGGCTGAGGTGGTGGGGGTAGGGGATTGGGAGGGAGCAAACCAGGCCCATTATGTTCCCAGGCCCAGTTCAGGACATGATAGGAGTTTACAAACAGTGGGATCATAAAGATACACACACTATCAGTAGCTAGGCATGGGATCCTGTAATTCCACAATGGCTGGTGTGCATTTCCATAACGAAAATATTATAAGAGTATGTTTATTTTTCTTTTAAAACTTGCATTAGATTAATTTGATTAAGTACAATGTATTATGAGGACCTGGAGTGCCAGAGCAGAATCTCAGCCACAGTTGTGCCTTCAACCTATAGCGACCTCTCTTATCCCAGGCTCTTCCCAAATGGACTCTCACTTGGGAAGGCACCAAGGCAGGGGTAGTGAGACACATGGAGGGAATGTGAGGCCTTAGCCCGAAGGTGGTCCCAGAACACAGCAATGGGGAAGAGTTGTATTTGAGACCAAATACACAAGGAGCTCTGGTAGTGTAGTGGTTATGAATCGGGCTGCGAACTGCAAGGTCAGCAGTTCGAAACTATCAGCTGTTCCATGGGAGAAAGATGAGACTTTCTGCTACCGTAAAAGATTTACAGCCTCGGAAACCCTGTATAGGGTCACTGTGAGTCAGAACTGACTCCACAGCACACAACAACAACACTCAGTCTTCTCATGCATGTTCCCCTTTCGATAGACCAGCACTTCCTGCCCAGATCAGTGAAGCTGGTTTGGAAGGTAGGTGGCAGTCATCCCCCTGAATGATGCCTGTATTCTCTCCAACTGAATTATGACCAGACAAACCACCTAATTCCCTCACTGATACAGCCTCATGTGCTCCTCTCTGTGAATAAGCACCCTGGTGTGAATCAGGGGCACACATAGCACAACACAGTGACTGTTCTCATGGGGGCATTTCTTACACTGGGAATGACGCTGTCTTCATGGCAGGCTGCCTGGTACTGCACTACCACGAGGGTAAAATGACCAGACAGCCTAGCTTACAGCCTTCCTTCATCTCTGATCAGGGCAGTTGTGCCCTGAGGGGTGAGCACTCTTCTAGAACTCTGCCCTAACAACAAAGCATACAACCCACCAACCCTGCTTTCAACAGGGAGCACAGCACACAAAGTGACTTCTGGAAGCAGCACAGTGGACAGGCCCTGACTGCTCCTTCTGAGCCCTTGTATGCTGTTTCCATCTTAGTGTGAGCTGAGGCCTCCCACCAGGGCAAGTTTTCTACTGGTGCTCTGTTCAGGCCCCTGGCTGGCCCTCAGTTTACAATGAGGGTGGCTTTGTTTTACCTGATGACTGGCCCATCAGATTTTGAGCTTCTTCGGAGGAGTGTAAAGGCAGCTTTTCTCCTGGAGAGCAAAGAGAGACAGATTTAATTTTTTGCCCTCAAGGAGATAAGCAAGGTCCCTTCAACTAGGGAAGCTCAAAATATGATTGCCCGGTGGCTGTGTCAGCAGCCACACTACAAGGGTGCCTCAGCCTTTACTTTGCTCCCTAACAACGGCTCTCAGCTGGGAACCGCCATCTCTCTGCCCTAGGACAGGGTCATGTGTTGCTAGCAGATGCCTCTGCTGACTTCCTGTAGAAGGCACTGGATCTTTAGGTGGAGGCACCTGAATGAAGTGCCATCAAGGTTGCTGGTGGAGGACAGCGGAGAACACAGCTGAGCAAGCACCCTGTAGAGGACAGTGCCTCTTTATAAGCAAAGACCCCGCCAAAGCTGACTGAAGGTCATCTGACCCCGCCATGGGAGACAGGTCCCACCCCGGCCATGGGCACACCCCCACTGGTGGACCTGGCTCCACTCAGGACAGCTGCAGAGCGAGTCCCAGGCAGGAAGAGAAGAAGGGCAGTAGGGGCTGGGTACGTACCGGGGAAAGCGGGGTTGGTCTGTCCGAGGGGAGGAAAGGGGGTTTGCTGCATGGCCAACTGGTGGAGCTTGGTCAACTGCTGGGGGTAGGAGGGACACGAGAGCTAAGAAGGTTATTGTCATTGAGTACAGTCACACCAAATAAAAGGCAGTAACAGACTTGATACAGATGGGCACCGGGGGCCATGCGGGCACATGGCAGACGCAGCGTGACTCAAGGACTTGGCCTGGGTGGTGTCAATGGGGCCCAGGTGTTCAGCACGGTAGGGTGGATGCCCTCTCTCAGGTCTCTTCCTCTCTTTGAGGTGTGGGCTGGAAGCAGCCTGGCCTGCTGCTTTCACATGGACCTTGGGCAGAGGGTGTTTTCCAAGGTTGGTATGGAGGGTGGCAGAAGGGAGAGCAAGCCTGCGGGGACCAGCAGGCAATTTGGACTCTTGGCTAGAAAGCTAAGACCAGTTGGACTTGTAAGATATTATAATTCCAACTTGCATCCACAAAAACATTTTATTCTCTTGTGGACAATCTAGTACTACTTTTCAAACCTTGTGTTAGCTAACCCTGACTGTTTTTGCTAGTTGCCTTCAAGTTGGCTCCGACTCAGTCATCCTAAGCACAACAGAACGAAACACTACGCCATCCTCACAATTGCTGTTACGCTTGAGTCCATTGCTGCTGCCCCTGTGCCAATCCATCTGGTTGGAGGGCTTCCTCTTTTTTGTTGATCCTCCACTTTACCAAGCATGATGTCCTTCTCCACAGACTGGTCCTTCCTGGCTAGCACCTGGCTAATCCTGGCAACAAGTCCTGTCTTTCCCAGGTGCACTGCTCTACAGGACTCACCTTCCTGACAAGTGAGGGCCATGAGCAAGGAAATCACTCATAAACCAATTGCCGTCCATGACAACACTTTTGGGGAGTTTTACCATGGTGTCTGGGACTACAGAACATTAGTGCTTGCAGGTTAGAGCCACCAAGAGGGCCTCGGGGACATGTAGGCACCACCTGTAGTTGCACCCACCTGCTTTCTGAGCAGGCTGAGCCTGTCCCCTTGTCCTAGCCTCTGGACATACACATGGGATCTGGTGTACCCTAAGACAGTTTGCCACCCTTGAATGTCCCCAAGTGATAAGAATTGCTGCTGAAAGCATCGGCCTTGATGCCCCCATTCACCCGAACAGACACAGTTTGGGTCCTCTCCGTTAAACACAGAGAAAGCAGCCTCACACTAGAGCACAGCAATGTGGGTCCTGAATAGCCGGTTAGTGTTTCTATAGGGTACTCTTCTCCTAAGAATGTACCCATGTACCCAGAAGTTCAAACAGTTTTGTAATGAGCATTTCTGTTCAGTGTTTGTGTGTGTGCCAAAGGCTACTTCCCATGATCACTGCCCCTGCCTCTACTGTGCCTACCTCCTCCCATGTCCCTGTGAAGGAGGTATGTCCTACACTTGCCCAGTGGACTGTGGCTATGTGGGTACAGGCAATTGGACACAGGAATTTAACTGCACTTGCCAGTCAGACCTGGTCTTTTCTTGACTTTCACAAGAACAGGACATCTGGCACAAGGAGACATGTAGAACCCTGATGACACCCAGAGCCACAACCATACTTGGGAGACAGAACCTCTGTGGTTAAGAGCTGATGGGATTTTGAAGCCATTTGTAGCTGCAGCAATAGCTGACAAATAAAGACTTTCTTGGCCCAGATTCTGAAACACTGCCATTATGTACTTTGTTTGATTGTTTTTCTCCATCCTGGCCATGAAAACATGACAAGTGAGCACTTACGTTGGGGTGTGCTTTACAAACACTCCTCTATCTGCCTTCCCTTTAAGGTCTCTCCACATCTTCTTGGGTATTTTCCTAAGCACTGGAGGTGGGAGTGCTTGAATGAGAAGCAGTAAGACTGTCCTGGGCTGTAGTTGTTATGGCCACAGAGTTTTGCAGAGCTCAGGTTAGGAATGTGGTGACTGGAAGTCAGATTCAGCTCTGAGATTCCACTAGCATGGTGATGTTGGGTGGGGTAACGGGATCAAGGGATCCACCTGATGCAACTGTCCAGGTGTTTTAAAGGACCAGAGGCTGGTCCCTGGTAGCCAGGGCCATTGAAGGAGATGTGAATCCAGATGTGGTTATGAGACCAGCTCCATCGCTGGCCAGATACATGTCTGTCCAATGACTGTATACCTGAATGGACACACACTGAAGCCCTCAGAAACAGGTACCAAAGCATTTCAAGAAGGCACCATCCCTAGGACAACAGCCAAAGTCTTACCGTTCAAGTAAATAATTTGCCTTTCATCCATTTCCATCATCTAATTTCTAATCGTCTTTGAAACCACATATGCTTCTAAAATGTCATTGTCTTTAGTTTTGTTGTTGACCATCAGAGTAGATCATTAATACTAAGCATCAGTAGGGACAACAGGGGAGACTTAGCTTACAGGCTGCTGTGCATTGGGATGAGGCACTGCAAGGTCCTAAAGGGAAGGGTCCTTGCTCCTTTCCATTCAGGAAGCATAGAAGAACACATTAGAAAAATCTGGTAAAGGCTATTGTCTTGGGGAGAAGAAAGGGCATTATAGAAATAAAACAAAAATACACAATTTGCTTTAGGTGAGAAACATAAAGAGGTATTATGCAGGGTCAAACATTAAAAGGCCAAGGTGCCTTCTGGAGTAACGTATCCAAAGCCACATCCTGTGAGATATATTGTACTAACTTGATCTGGTAAGTCATTGACTCCCATTGGATGAGACCACAACTCAACACACAAGGGAAATGTGGGCACTGATACACCAAAAACTTATTTAGTAACATGGATGCTAGGTCATGTTTGACAGTGGAGCTGGTCTTAAAATCCCATCTATAGTCAAGAACTTTAACTAGATCAAAAATTCCTTGGCAGTGGACATAGCTACAAAATTCCTAGGATAAAATAAGAAACCCCCATTTTTGGAGCTAAACTTTTAAAGTTTTTAAAAAAGTTATAGTTTCCAGATCAACATGGAAGTTATCACTCCCACCTACATAGCATGGAGAAAGCTGAAGAAAAAACTAAAATCAACATGTCTTCTTAGATCCAGCTGATAATTAAAGTCACTGGACAAACTGCTGCCCTGAAAACTGGAGAGACGGGCAGATAGCAATAGTCACAGCTTACCAGGAGCTTACTGGGAACAGAAGATCACTGATAGTATCAGTCAGTACCTGTTTTTGTTAGGTGCCACTGAGTCTCATCCACCACTGTGGTGGCTTGTGAGTTGCTGTGATTCTGAAAGCTATGCCACCAGTATTTTAAATACCAGCAGGGTCACCCATGGTGGACAGGTTTCAGATGAGCTTCCAGACGAAGACAGACTAGGAAGAAGGAGTGACGAACTACTTCTGAATATTTAGTCACTGAAAACCTTATGAATAGCAGAGAAACACTGTCAAATATAATGCCAGAAGGTGGGCCTCTCAGGTTGGAAGGCACTCAAAATGCAACTGGGAAGAGCTGCCTCCTCCTAGTAGAGTTGACCGTGATGACACGAATGGAGTAAAGCCCATGGGACCTTCATTTGCTGATGGGGCACAACTCAAAATGAACAGAAACAGGTGTAAAAACATTCATTGAAAATCGGAACATGGAATGTACGAAGTATGAATCTGAGAAAATTGGAAATTGTCAAAAGTGAAATGGAATGCATAAAAATCAGTATCTTAGGCATTAGTGAGCTCAAATGGACTGGTATTGCCCATTTTGAACCTGA